CCTTCGCATAATATACATACATACACTCATTTACGGATATATATACATATACACATGTATGTATGAGTCATATATACATACATACATGCACACACGTATATATAAATACATACATACACATATACATAGGAAGAGCAAATCAGCGGAGACGTGGCAGAGCGTGGCGTGTTCGCCGGAGGGAGCAGTAGAAGAGGATTGGACACCGGCGGTGTTGGCGAGGTCGACGCAAGAGTTCCAAAGGCGGTAGCTGAGCTTCCAGATTTGAAGTTTGAAGGAGTTAGAGAAGGGAGAGAGACAGAGAAAGTGGGGAGAAAGTGGGGAGAAAGTGGGTGGAGAAAGTAGGAAGATTTAGTTAAGGGTATACTAGTCTAATAAAATATTTAAATAATAAATTTTGTCCTTTATGCAAGACTTTATAATTATGAGGGAGTTTAGAAAGTATAATTTTTTTCTTAGTCCTTTTAACAATAAAAGGAAGGTAAAGAGGGTTTATAGCCAAATTTTCCAACTTTTACTTACCCCCCAATAAGTAAAACTTTAACTATCCATGGGTTCCAATACTAAAGAATGAAAAAAAGCATTCATTCACAAAGGTTAAAATAAAAAAAAAAATAAAATCTTATCTAAAGCCAAAACAAATTAGAATCATCATGATGTCCAAACACTCAGTATGTGTAAAGGTTGTTAATCTCATATTAATGGTTAGAATTAGGATTGAAAATCAGTCAAGTCGAGTCATATAATAGGTTGTTCAAATTTAATTTGAAAAACTTAACTAATTTAAAAATATATATAAGTTTGTCTTCTCTACCATTTGAGCCGAACCCAAACGAGTTTTAATCAAACAGAGAATGAGCAACTTGGTATTTTATTGCCCATTTAAGTTTATAGAACTAAGTTCGAGCTAAACTCAAAAAATCGGCGAATTTCAAAATGTGTTCAACTTTAACTTATTTATATAATAAGTCATTCTTCAATTGTTTTTTATTGAGCCGAATATAAATTGAGTTCAAATAATTTGATTTGTTTTACCATCTTAACTTAAATAGATATGCCAAGAAAATGAGTATTAAATTAAATAAGAAATTATCAATATAAAAAATTATCAAGGCACGGTGGTGAATTTTTTAAATAAAATTTTCTTCTTTTTCATAGGTCTAATACTCAAATCTACAACATAATTTGCCTTATCTAAAAAATAACTAATAATATTATGGAACACAAATTATTAAAGCCAAATAGAAAAATAATGATGAAAGATGGATGTAACACCCCAAAAATATATACATCTGATAAACCCAATTTAACTCATAACATGATCTAATTCTCAATTATTCCATCATTAACATGAGAGAGAGAATAATAAATACTACATTCATTAATGTAAGGACTAAAACCCCCCTTCTTTTCTATTCATGACTTTCTAGTAAGATTCATAAAACAAATCACATGCATTCATACATTCACTATTTCTAAAATATGAATCTATGGCATGTGATGACAGAAATTTAAAGCAAGCTAAGTACCAAATAATACCTTATTGGCTACAAGTTCCAAGGCCTTGCCTGGTTACACAAAAGTGGTGTTCACACCCCAACATGAATAGCCCTTGGCTTGCAAAAAGAAAACAAATAAAAACCAAGCTTCGTGCTCCAAAAGCTCCTCCTTGCCTTCACTTCGGCAAAGGCACATCACAATCACCTGAAAATGGTTTCCACTAAGGGATGAGCATAAACCCATTAAAGATAATCTAAATAAAGTGCATGCAGTTTAACAATATCATGAGGTGCAATGCATATGAGATGCCAATGTCAAAAATATAGGTTTTCTCATTTTGAATTTCTCATGCCATGCACTTGTTCAAAAACATAACCAATTTAATCATCCATTTGATAGAACAAGGGGTGTTAAATATGACACTGGTAATCCCTAGGCTGGTGTTTGCAAGTAGGCATAACTAGCACTACCAATATCTACTTTATCGACTCCTAGCCGGAAGGCACGTGGTACCTACTTCGCGCGTGGCATATCTATTGATAATTTTTCACCCTAAACAATATCAATCTACACCCCCTATTTGAACTTACCAAATGTATTTACCCCATAACTCAACACATTTCAAATATTCCCAATGAATCAATTTGAAACAAAATCAATTGCTCAAATCCAATGCAAGAATTAAATCATCAGATTATGTAATGTTCAATGCCATGCATGAGTTTGCAAATATTTCAATTTACCTATTTCACATGCAATTTCTATAATAATCAATACAACCTTCAACGGTTGCCCAAATAATTATCTCTGTACAAAATATAAATTTCAAGAGATAAATATAACTCATAATCTCATATTTTCAATCATTTCAACATAGTAGTAACAATCACATATTCAATCTCCTCTTTCCCAACTCAATCAAGAATCATAATATTCTTAAAAGAAATTTCATCAATCTTCGCTTTTTATTCAAATTCAAGAATTCATCAAGAATTTTCATAACGCAAAAAATAACATTTGTTTCTTTCAACAATTCTCAATACCACAACAAGATAAATATTTTCATCTTTCTCAAAAGTTCAATATTTTCAAATTTAACAATTTTCAAAGGAAACCTCAATGGTTTTCAATTCCCAACAACATTCTCATCAATCCCATCCATATAAACATCCACTTTCAAATTCTCATTTGTTTAGATAAACATATATTTTTAACTCTTGTAAGCTTTTCACAAACTCATCCCAAAAATCTAAATCTTAACATTTTAAATTTCTAGGGTTTTATTAAAATTTGGAGATTTCTCATAAAAAATTAAAAAAAAAAATTCGACTTCCACGAGCCATACAAAAACTAAACTCAACTAACAAGAGATTTTCAAAAAGAAGTTGAGAACTTCTCCCTTTTTATACATTTAATTTACTATTAATAAAACCCTAATCTTTTCAAATATCACACTATCAAAATAACACATACACAATGTTTAGAAAATCCTTACCTCAAGTTCTAGAAGAGGAGAAGGAAGAAAATGCCCAAAATTGATGGTTCCAAAAAAATGATCTCCAAAATGAAATCCTCACCAAGCTCTTCACTTTGATCTCAAGAACAAGGGTCCAAAACCTAATAGATTTTGGCAGATCAAAGATTTTGTGTAATGAATGTTTAAAGAAGAAAAAAATGAGAGAGAGATTTAGCCAAGAGGTAAAGAAGTAGGAGAGAGAAGAGAAAGTGAAAAAGTGACTTGAAAAGTCAAAACACGGAACTAAAACCCAGTCGGCCCGCTCGAGCGTAAAACACTCCGCTCAAGCGTAACTCACAGACTCCCGCTCGAGCGCCAACAATCCCGCTCGAGCGGCGAATACACACGCCCAGAACTTCTGCAGAACTAGGTCTCCGCTCAAGCGCCCAACTCCCCGCTCGAGCGGCACTCACGTAACCCCGCTCGAGCGGCCAACACCATGCTCGAGCATCCAACACTGCACAGAAAATACTGGATGGGTGCAATCCCCGCTCGAGCGCCAACACCCCCGCTCGAGCGTACAGGTCAAAACCTGGGCAACTAGTTTTGGTTTCTAAACTCAACCAACCTGTAACAAACCTGCCCAACACATCCTATAACTCAAATACGAAGTAAAAAGGATGCAAACAAGATAATAAACAACTACCCTCAACCACGGACACATGTCCGGATCACTGTACAACAAGGGTAAACCCGGGATCGCTATATAGTAAGATTCATAAAACAAATCACATGCATTCATACATTCACTATTTCTAAAATATGAATCTATGGCATGTGATGACAGAAATTTAAAGCAAGCTAAGTACCAAATAATACCTTATTGGCTACAAGTTCCAAGGCCTTGCCTGGTTACACAAAAGTGGTGTTCACACCCCAACATGAATAGCCCTTGGCTTGCAAAAAGAAAACAAATAAAAACCAAGCTTCGTGCTCCAAAAGTTCCTCCTTGCCTTCACTTCGGCAAAGGCACATCACAATCACCTGAAAATGGTTTCCACTAAGGGATGAGCGTAAAACCCATTAGAGATAATCTAAATAAAGTGCATGCAGTTTAACAATATCATGAGGTGCTCACCACAAAATATTTTTTCTTTGATGGTGCACACCATTCATATTCATAACTCTCTCATGGTAGTAAAATAGATAATAATAATAATAATAATAATAATAATAACAATAACAACAACAACAACAACAACAACAACAACAACAACAACAATAATAGGTGATTACAACGAGTCGCGATTCAATCAATAACAACAATAATAGGTGATTACAACGAGTCGCGATTCAATCAATTAGATCCAAAATGAATCAAATTTATAATATAGAATAAACCTCCAACTGAGATGAAAAGATAAAATAATCTAAATAGACTCAAGGTTGCCCCCACCATTAACATAATCAAATATGAACTAAAATAATTAAGTTTGGTCTAATCAAATAAGACCCTAAAAATTTAATTTATATAGGTTCAATGCCAAAAATCAAGAGTAATTAAGACTCTGAAATTTCCAAGCAGGTCTCACAAAGTCAAAATCGAAGGGTAATATAATATGTTTTTCACAAATTTAAATCGAATGGTCCACCACGCAACAACTACAGTAGTAATGACAACACAATAAAAAAAATTTTAAAAATTCATACTAATTCAATACTAACCAACATGCAGACTTGCAAATGTATTAAGAAGGTTACTAAATAGGTACCAAGAAAATAAATAATTAAATAAATCGAATTTGATTCAACTCATTACAGAGGAAAACAATGTGAAGAGGTCATAACAAAAAGGTGCTTGGTTAATAATTAAGCAATACAATAAATATTTCAAAAGAATATGGAGATATGAAATTATCAATTTGCTTGCCATTTCCACTCATACATGATCAGAGCACACATTTGGAAACTGTTGCAATTATCAATTGTTGCTTATCCACAATCTTCTAACAGTCACTAACTACAAGTGTTGTAAATTACTTTACAGGTTGCTTTCCCCATCTTGGAGGAATTGGTAATTCAGAAATTGCCTAACATAACACAGATATGGGAGAAGCAATTACTCATAGCCTCAGAAAATGAATCAAAGTCCTTTTGCCAACTGAAAGTTATGGTGGTTTCTAATTGTAAGAAATTGGTATATGTGGTTCAGTTCAATATGCTCCCACGACTAGAAAATCTGAATAGATTCAACATCGATAATTCTCCAAAGACGAAAGCGATAGTCACGGAGAAAGAAAAAGAAAAAGGAACCACTAGTAATGATATCATCGTGTTTTCTCAATTAAAAACTCTTAATCTTTCTATGTTGGTGAGCCTTAAAAGTTTCTGCAACTGGCCTACAAGATCTGAAGTACAACCCTTGTTCAACCACCAGGTTTGATTTTCCTAATTCATTTTATTAACCCCAGCCATAGGAAAGTGTGTACACAAAAAAAATTAAAATTCCTTTTCAATTACAATTTTAAATTTGAAACTTATTTGAATATTTTCTTTCTATCCAAATCCAAATAAAAGTAAAATAATTGAAGGAGGACATGCTAGGGGCCTACGATGGAAATTACAATATTACCCAAACAAAAATATGTATGAATTCTAAATTTAACACTATATTTTTATTTTGAATATGAATCTTAATATGATTTTATTTGGATAAAATTATGTCCAAAATTGTGATTTGCCTAATCTTGATTTGGAGATCATTAAAAAAATATTTAAACATTGGTTTTGTAATTTGCCTAATCTTGATTTGGAGTTCATTAAAAAAATATTTAAGTATTGGATATCTAAAAAAATATTTAAATATTGGATATCATATTTTGAGTTCAAATAATTTGATTTGTTTTACCATCTTAACTTAAATGGATATGCCAAGAAAATGAATATTAAATAGATATGCCAAGAAAATGAACATTAAATTAAATAAGAAACTATCAATATAAAAAATTTATCAAGGCACCGCGGTGAATTTTTAAAATAGAATTTTCTTCTTTTTCATAAGTCTAATACTCTAATCTATAACATAATTTGCCTTATCTAAAAAATAACTAATAAGATTATGGAACACAAATTATTAAAGGCAAATAGAAAAATAATGATGAATATCATATTTTGAGTTCAAATAATTTGATTTGTTTTACCATCTTAACTTAAATGGATATGCCAAGAAAATGAATATTAAATAGATATGCCAAGAAAATGAACATTAAATTAAATAAGAAACTATCAATATAAAAAATTTATCAAGGCACCGCGGTGAATTTTTAAAATAGAATTTTCTTCTTTTTCATAAGTCTAATGCTCTAATCTACAACATAATTTGCCTTATCTAAAAATAACTAATAAGATTATGGAACACAAATTATTAAAGGCAAATAGAAAAATAATGGAAAACAATGGGAAGAGGTCATAATGAAAAGGTGCTTAGTTAATAATTAAACAATACAATAAATATTTCAAAAGAATATGGAGATATGCAATTATCAATTTGCTTGCCTATTGCTTTTCATTTCCACTCATGCATGATCATAGCACGAATTTGGAAACTGTTGCAATTATCAATTGTTGCTTATCCACAATTTTATAACAGTCACTAACTACAAGTGTTGTAAATTACTTTACAGGTTGCTTTCCCCATCTTAGAGGAATTGGTAATTCAGAAATTGCCTAACATAATACAGATATGGGAGAAACAATTACTCATAGCCTCAGAAAATGAATCAAAGTCCTTCTGCCAACTGAAAGTTATGGAGGTTTCTAATTGTAAGAAATTGGTACATGTGGTTCAGTTCAATATGCTACCACGACTGCAAAATCTAAAAAGATTCAACGTCGATAATTCTCCAAAGATGGAAGCGATAGTCACGGAGAAAGAAAAAGAAAAAGGAATCACTAGTAATGATATCATCGTGTTCTCTCAATTACAAACTCTTAATCTTTCTATGTTGGTGAGCCTTAAAAGTTTCTACAATTGGCCTACAAGATCTGAAGCACAACCCTTGTTCAACCACCAGGTTTGATTTTCCTAATTTATTTTATTAACCCTGAAGCTTATTTGAATATTCTCTTTCTATCCAAATCCAAATAAAAGTAAAATAATTTGAAGGTGGATATGCTGGGGGGGCCTACGATGGAAATTACAATATTACCCAAACAAAAATATGTATGAATTTAAATTTATCACTATATTTTTTATTTTGAATATAAATTGTTAGGTCCCTTGATTGTCAAATCCAGATACAAAACCTTGCGTTGTTCATGTTGTTTATTTTTAGTATTTTTAATCTTTCTATGTTGGTGAGCCTTAAAAGTTTCAACAACTGGCCTACAAGATTTGAAGCACAACCCTTGTTCAACCACCAGGTTTGATTTTCCTAATTTATTTTATTAACCCTGAAGCTTATTTGAATATTCTCTTTCTATCCAAATCCAAATAAAAGTAAAATAATTTGAAGGTGGATATGCTGGGGGCCTACGATGGAAATTACAATATTACCCAAACAAAAATATGTATGAATTTAAATTTAACACTATATTTTTTATTTTGAATACAAATCTTAATATGATTTATTTGACTAAAATTATGTCCAAAATTGTAATTTGCCTAATCTTGATTTGGAGTTCATTAAAAAAAAATTTAAATATTGGCTATCATATTTTGTTTTTTGGGTTTTGACTGATATGATTTTATTATGTTTCACAATCTGACATTATTCCCTTATAACCACTTTAAATTTACATTGCAATTTCCCGATCATCAATCCTAAATTACCTTCCTTTGGAATTACGCCTCTTGGGTTTTAGGGAAATGATAACAATTTCTACATGATTCTTAGTTGTAATATTTCAATATAGAAAAATCACTATTATAATTTCTTCCAAAACCTCAAAAATATTGAGCAATCCCTATTATAAGAGGTCACAAATCAACTCCCACAACTTCACCATTATGAAAATGTTGCTTGCCCCTGCCCAAAATAAGTTCAAACCGACCACTGATCCAATTTTAAAACTACATTAATTGATGGATTATGCATGCTGGTTTGAGTTGTTACTAACAATTAATCAATAACAGCTTAAAGGCCGATCTTCTCTACTTAAGTGCTATGTGTTAGGGCCAATGTTGCTATATCATTGTCGAGAACACAAACTAAGAGAAATTACTCAATGTTCTAGGAGACAAAATGTTAAGTGTTAATCTATAAATGGAATAAAGAAATAATACTCAAAAAACTAAACACATAATGAAATATAGATATCTTACAAGGGGTGAGATCCCCTAGGATGGATCTGGGGGGTGTGGAGGGAGGTGACCGCACCCCCCAAAAATTAGAAAATATCATATATTATGTTAGAAATTTAAAAGAATAAGAATTTACACCTCCAAATATATGTGAGACCTACCTTTTATGAGATATTTGTATCTCATTTTTTGTTTTGTTCAGTCAAGCCTTCACGTCATGCTATGTGGCAGCTTTATCTAGAATAAAATCAAAAAATTTGTAATTCATAGGCATGGTCCAGGTTTGATCCCAAGACTTTGAGTTTAATTAAAAACAATCTTACCACTTAGACAACATACATATTATAATATTAATTTTTTTATTATTTATTTTTATTCTTACTTATTTGAATTGCACACGCATTGCGTGTGTCACTTGCTAATCATTATTTACATGATTTATCATTTTTAATAAACATATATATATATATATATATATATTTTATTTTGAACATTTGGATCATAAATTTGGATAGAAATTTGGAAAGACATAGGGAAATAAAAATAAAAATTATTTATATTTTGTTGGCATTGCTTTTACAATTATTTTTTTAAGATCTTTACTTAAATTCATAATCCACACATAAAATAAAATTTTGGCTCATCAATATGAGAAACATGTCTCATCAATCATCACTGACGTTGAAATCTAATATACAAGCCTACTTCATCCTGTTATTAAACAAGATGACAAAATGAATCTTTGCAGGTTTTTTTTCCAAAGTTGAAGACACTATTTCTCGATAATTGTGTAAACTCAAGAGAGATACATCCTTGGAATGTTCAGGCTGGCAAGATAAGTTTAAAATGCTTGGACGTAGCGAATCTGGACAAATTAATTGTGAGAAATTGTAGTGAGGTGGCAGAGGTTTTTCAACTTGAAGGGCTAAATGTTGGAGAAGGACAACATGTTAGGCCATTAATTGAAGTAAGAATGATGGAATTGGATGGATTACCTCAATTGACATGTTTGTGGAACAAGGATCCCCATGGAATTCTGGGCCTTCAAAGCCTACAATACCTAACAATTAAGAAATGTTCCCTCTTGAGAAATCTATTCACATGTTCCACCGCCATGGCTCTTCAACAACTTAAAGTACTTTATTTGGAGTCTTGTCCGGTGATGGAAGAAGTTATTGGAGCAACAGAGGATGGGCACAGGGAAGTTATTGATGATGTGATTGAATTCCCAAAGTTGGAGTGGTTAATACTGAAAGATCTACCGAACCTCAACAGTTTTTGCAATGCAAACTATAATTTTAATTTGCCATCATTACAGAGAGTTGTTCTAAAGAGGTGTCCGAAGATGCACAACTTTACTTTTGGACAAGTACGCATGTTACGGATACTTGTAAGTACACGTGGCGATGAAGGCCTTCAGACAAAAGATCTTAATAAGTATTTAGAGGAACAACTTTTGAAAGGAGAGGTAGACTTTTTTTTTGGACTTGATTTATGGTTAATTATTTTTGTCATTTGATGAACTCTTTTATCTTTGAATATTTGCAAGAGACTACTCAACTGGAGTGTTTCATATGTATTTTTTGTTTATTTGTATTTTACTTTCTTTTCTTTTAGGAATGTGCAACCGTGGATGAAAATGATTACGATGGCAAAGAAGAAAAGTTCTCCAACCTTTATGGGCTACGTGAGTAAAGTAAGCATGATCATCCTTTATTATAAATATATATGTATAAATTTCATAATATTTATAGGGAATTTTATAATAAATATGTTTTAAAAAAAAGGGGAAATTTTATTTTACCCTCTAAATTATTACTTGAAAATCAATTCAACCCCTATACTTTCAATTATATGAATTTTACACATAAACTATTCAATTTTGAATCAATTTCACCATTGTTGTAAATTGTCTATAATTAGACGACATTTGCTGATGTGGTACCAAACTTCATTTAAAACATCATTTTGTCCCCCAAACTCTCCCTCAAAAATCAATTAGACCCCTAACATAGAAAAAAATAAATTTAAATATCTAATAATAATCTTTCATCTAAAAAAGTGTGAAAATAAATTTTAAATTAAAAAAAAAATTGAGGATTAGTCATGTTGAGTGTTCTTTAGAGAGTAATTGCTAAATTTTGCGTTAAATTGTCATTCAATAGGTGATACGACTGAGTAGGTACTAATCTTGATTTTGTAGACAAATCTCAATATATTCATTTTCATCGTTCAACATAATTTTCAAATGGAAAAAAAGCATTGTTACTCTCACTCATTTGGGTACTAAATATTTTAGTCAAAAAGTCACTATAAATTATCACATCACTCTCTTTACTTTTCTACACATCTTTCCGTAAAAAGCCAAAAGTTACTAAAATAACCTATTCCCAAACGAGGCCGTGGTCTAAATTCAATTTTAAAATTACTATTAATCGATCAATTCTATTGAAAGTAACTTGGGAAATATGCTAGCAACAATTGCGACACACACACATAAAGTAGCAAAGGAAATTTCTACTCAATTAGTTTATCCAGGATCAACTCAAGATAATTTATGATTCAAAGAGACAATTTGAAATGAAGATTTTATATTTTAAATTTTTTTTTTTTGCAAAGTACATTATTTAAAGATTATTTATTTTTTCATTTTAGATAAAAAATAATAATTAATTAAATATTTGAGGGTTTGATAGATTTTTGAGGTATAATTTGGGGGTAAAATGAAGTTCAATGCCATGTCAACAAATTCTATCTGATTTTAGCTGGCAACTAATGCTGGAGTGAAATTGATTCAAAATTGAATAGTTTAAATGTAAATATTAATATAATTGAAAGTATAAGAGTTGAATTAATTGTTAGGCAAGCAGTAGGGCCCTGGGGGGATCCCTAACCAAGGTATCTCTTTTGGGTGCGAGGCTTGGTAGATCATAGAGAGAGAGTCTTTCCTTCCAAAATCAACTCTTGTGATTGCGCCTGTAACGCCCCCAAAAGTACACAATAAATATTACCCAAAGACATACATAAATGACAGTATAAATCAGGGTAAAAAGTCTTTTCATTACAAGAAGTTCATAATACAAGAGTTCAACATAAATAAGTACCCTTCGGGCTTACACCTTTCCAAGTCTTGGCTTGGTTACAACAAAAGAGAGACTAGCTCTTACAAATAAGCCCTTGGCTATACAAAAAGAATACATAATCAAAACAAGAAGCTCGTGCTTCCAAAAGTCCTTCCCCGCTATTGTCTTGGCAGAGGCATGCCCTCAATACCTGAAAATGGTGTTCCCCAAATAAGGTCAGCCACAGCCCAGTAGAAATAATTTATCATAGTATATGAAACTTAGCAAAGGTATAAGTATACTATACATACACAATGTCAGTGATAGAGACATCCCCATTTTATATAGTCATAAGGTATCAATTTCCATTCATTTCGTTACATGGACCAATTTCATCATCTCTTTAACAATACAAATGAGACTACAATTCATTAGTTCTATATTCACATCATCAATGTATAAACACTTCAAACTTTTCTTTCACGGATATTTCATCCGGGGACAGCCGTCAAACAGGACCCATGTAACGTAGGCTATACAAGCACTATAATTGTCATTTTATGGATATTTCGTCCGCGAGCTAGGCACCCATGTATAATTTTGGGACTTTCACCCGGGACACTCTGGCTAACTTAATTATAATGAAGTTCATCCTTTTTCTCCTCCCAAACAATCATTCATACATATGCAACGTATTTAAACACAGAATCAAACAATGGAGCACATCTCCTTTCCACTCCCACATAGTCATATTCAATGACAAACAACAAGAGATTAGTTTCATTTCACCTAATCCTCATGCAATTTCTACAACAATCATAGCTATCCTCCACCGATAGCCCAATACAGTTATTTCTAAATAGATATTCAATCTCATGATAAATAATTTATTCAAATTTTCAAAGAATGAGTTAATACATAACCAATCCTACCATTCATATGAATGCCCTCTCAATTTCACATTTTCAATGTCAATTTTAATTATTTATATAAAATAATAATGATAGTCATTTTAGGGAAAAAATTCCCCTATTCTAATTATCAACCCAAATATCATTCTCATCCATTTTGACCCATCATAATCTCATTTTCACAACCCACATTCATTTATTTCATGTTCGACAACAATTCCTCTTTCCATATTATACCCAAACCCTAGGTTCGCTTACAACACCCTCAAATCACATCATTGTTACACAAAATACAAATAACTAAGCTAAATATCATATAAAGGTGTAGAAAAGATCCCTACCTCAAAGGAAGAAGATGAGTCAAACAAGAGAGAAACTCCAAGAATGCCGAAACCCACTTCTATTTGGATCAAAATGTAGATCTTGAGATGCTCTACTTTTTTTCTCAAAGGCACTAGGGTGAAAAGATCAATGGATCTAGATGAAATCTAAGAGAGCTTATGAGTTTTAGAGAGAGAAACTCAAGAACTTGGTCTTTGGGAAGTCATAGAGGGAGAGAAATGAAAAAGTGATTCAAAATGTGATCTTCTCGGACTATTATACACACAGTCAGCTCGAGCGTGGAAAGCCCCGCTTGAGTGTCAGACACAAAGTTCTGCTCGAGCGTGAAAAGTGGCGCTCGAGCGTAGGATACGCACTTCCAATATATTTGTAGAGGAAGGACCCCGCTCGAGCATGGGACTGGACGCTCGAGCGTCCGATGCACTGTCCCAGTATTTGCAGACCTGCAAAAAGAAATATTGAGAGTTGACAAATCCCGCTCGAGCGCAAAAATGGCCACTCTAGTGGAGGAGCAAAATTTGTGAAGCTCGCTTAAGCGCAAGAATGCCCGCTCAAACGAAAAAGCCAAAATCTGGGCGTAACAAGTTTGGAAAAGCAAGCAACAAACCTATTTCAAACGAACAACCACAACCTGATAACCAAAATAGAAGGGAGACAAGTGAAATAAGATATAAATAACCATTCTAAACCATACCAACCCGAGTCCAGAATACAATAGATAACGGGTCAAAATTGGAATCGCTATGACCTCCCTCCTTAAGGAATTTTGTCCCCGAAATTACAAATCATGTTCAAAATCAACATTAGACCATTCACAATAATGTTATTCCCATATGTTCATCACCATGACCCATGCTCCGGTCATCCATCTCCATCGACTCGATACATAAGTCCCATATTAAAAGAAATTTACAAATTTCCAAAACATTTACAATGTTAATCAAAATCCACATTTTCAGAATTTTCACAACATATACAATGTGTCCAAAAGTGATATAACATCCATAATATTCCATATTCTCAAAACATATACAATGTTTATATTGAATTCATATTTTCAAAATGCCTATAACATATACAATGTTCTCATAATCTAATACATATGCAATGCTTATACTTTTTATCATCAAAGTCAAAATCTCAATACATGATTAGATATCAACAAACAAGTCCAGATATTTCTCTCAGACTTCCAATTCACACTCCAAGTCGCTTCCTTGACCCCGTGATGTTTCCACAGTACCTTTACTATGAGAATTGTCTTGCCTCGCAAGGCTTGATCCCATCTGTCTGAGACCCTCTCCGGTCTCTCCTCATACGAGGCATCCTCATCTATCTCTAAGTCGGTCCAATCCAATACATGCGATGGATCCGGCTCATACTTCCAAAGCATACTAATGTGAAACACGTCATGAACTCCGGAAAACTATGGCGGTAACGCCAAACGGTAAGCAACCTCCCCAATCTGCTCAAGGATCTCAAAAGGGCCAATAAACCGAGGGGACAACTTCTTACTCTTCCCAAATCTCATCAAATCTCGTCTAGGTGATATCTTCAGAAAGACATGGCCTCCCACCTCGAAAGACAATGGTCTCCTCTTACGGTCGGCATAACTTTTCTAGCGACTCTGAGCCATAACCAACCTCTTACGAATAAGTGTCACTTTCTCCGTCGTTTCTCCAACCAACTCTGGACCCAACAAAGGTGCATCACCCACCTCAGCCCAACACACTGGAGACCTACAAGGTCGGCCATACAAGGCCTCAAATGGTGCCATGTCAATACTCGATTGGTAGCTATTGTTATAGGCAAACTCCACTAAGGGCATGTGCCTTTCCCACGACCCTTTAAAATCAAGCACACGACCCTTTAAAATCAAGCACACAACCTCGAAGCATATCCTCAAGGATCTGAATAGCACGTTCGGACTCCTGTCAGTCTGAGGATGATACGCAGTACTAAAGGTCAATCTAGTGCCCAAGGCACTCTGTAAGCTCTACCACAACCGAGCTATGAAACGCAGATCTCTATCTGAAACGATCGTCACAGGGACCCCGTGCAACCTCACTATGTCCCTGATATACAAGTCGGCGAGATGGTCCACCGAATCACTCACACTCATAGATATAAAGTGCGCCGACTTGGTCAACCGGTCAACTACCATCCAAATGGTATCATTACCGCGTTGAGTTCTTGAAAGCCCACAACAAAATCCATTGTGACATGTTCCCGCTTCCACTCAGCTGTAGGCAAGGGTTGCAACAAACCAGCTGGCCTCTAGTGCTCGACCTTCACTTACTGATAAATAAGGCACTTCGATACAAACACGGCTACATCCTTCTTCATACCCCTCTACCAAACCTGGCAACTCATATCATGAT